TGTAATAATACCATTAATAACTGGCAATTACAGTTATTAATTGAAATTAACAGAACAAATAAATAAACAAGTTAACATATATTATATATTATATAAATATAAATAATTTAATAAAAACAACCACAAAATAGAATTTCATTTATATAACAAGACAATATAACATAAAGGATTCTGGATATGATAAAAATATATCATTTTAACATATTTTTTAGAATTCCGATTAATAATCAAAATATATTTAGATTTTTTGATTTTTTCAAGAGATGTTCAGTAGCTGAAATGTTTTTTATTAAAAAATATGACAACACTATTAACTCTCAAAAGGATACAGAGAATTTAAATAACATATACGATAGATTAATAAAGGTCGTTTAGTCTTTCTCAGTATCTTAAACAGAGAGGTTGACACAGTGTCATTATAACATAGCGACTTTTTCTCTTTCAACTCTAACTATAACGCAGGTACATAAATTTGTTTATTTCATTTTTATAACGTGATTGTCATTATTTGATATTGTAATTTTAGTTCACTTGATAAGGACCCAAACCATATGGTCGAAACGTTGTGATCACAATCAAACAATAAATTGCCAGTTGGGTCGGATATATATAAACACTCCCTTAAATAATTTTTATTCGAATTTGGCGGTTAAATCTTCAAAGTGCGTTTACATTGGCGTCAATTCTACCAATGGTCACGTTCAGCAGAGAAAATTGCTTAGTAGTAATCGAACATGATTGGCTGTTATTTTTAGAACCAGCACAAGACGATAATTGAGCGCTTTCTCTGCTGAACGCAGGCAATGTCAAGGCTCAAACCAATGAGTAAAGAATCACAGGAGAGAGCATATCGGTGATGGGGGTAGATTTACCGCGAACGGTAATACGTCATCGCAGCCATCTTGAGCGTCGACTTTTTTCGACGTTTTTCAGAGCCGTATACAAACCTACATGAAGCTAGCCGGCAGAAATTATTAAATATAATTATTTTTAACTTTTCTGAGTGTATTACGTTTGTAAATCGTTTGTGATTGATTGTGAGCATAGACATAGTATATCTAGACCGAGCGTTTGCCTTTATTTAATCTTTACTATATGTCCTTTTCTACGTGGGCATCGGCCCCCACTCCTTAAATAAAGGCAAACGCTCGGTCTAGATATACTATGTCTATGCTAATACCCATAGACATAGTATATCTAATCCGAGCGTTTGCCTTTATTTAAGGAGTGGGGGTAAAGATGCACGTAGAAAAGAACATACTCTGTTTCGTGCCCCTTGCGTTCTCTCTCGCTCGTACGTAGCATAGCGTACTCTTTCGCTATGCTACATGCGAGTGAGAGAGAACGCAAGGGTCACGGAACAGAGTATGTTCTTTTCTACCTTGGCCCCCACTCCTCAACACTCGGTCTAGATATAGTATGTCTATGATTGTGAGTCTGTTTTTAACGTTTGTGACAAATTAGATTTTTTGTAATTAACAATTTTAATTTAGTCATGATGTCAGCCGATACTTTTTAGTAATAAACATACATCTCTATTTTGCGCATGATCACCATTCTAAATAAGTGAGAGGAAAAGCCAATATTAGGCTAAACAAACATTATTAATAAGTGTTAATTGTAACATCATGGTGCATTGCCAGGCCTTTGAGGTACTTCCAGTATCTCTGTCATGCTGCAATTCGTCTCTGAGCGGTCATCTTAAGTGTCCACTTATATATAGGCACTTCCGTCCGCTTACTTAGCACCAAATGCTCTTTCCTGTGATTCTTTACTCATTGGCTTAAACATATAGCGTTTTCGAATGGATTAATCCAACCCGGACCAATTAATCACTATATTTTACTATGAATTCAAGTCTTTCATTGGCAGAGACGATGCAATGACGTCATTAATCGCTTTCAGAGCGATTAAACCTGCTACTGTGGACGTAAGAAATATCTGGACGGAACACAAGGTACATTTTCGGGCGCGGGGTATGCTGAGGAGGGGAAATTTTGATGTGACCAATTATTTTAATTAGTGTATAATATTTTAATATGTATTTTACAATGAAATAAATATTTATTACTTTATTTATTTTACTTTTTCTTTTGAAAGTTATAACATACCCAGATAGCAAAATGCTAGCAGCATGCGCGCAGATTGGCAGCAAATTTAATCAGAATTTCATGCCAAAACCATAGTCATCTGTGATCACATTAAGCTCAGGTTTTGTCGACAGACCCTGCTGACAAGCAATGTAAGCAGATTGGCAGCAGAAACCGAGCAGAATCTGCGCACATAATTTGAGAACAGATTGACAGCAGAAACCGAGCAGATTCTCTTTTGACAAGCACATTTTCCTCTTATAAATTTTCATACAAATAAATATAAGGGTACCTTTTTTCTGTGGTCTTTTGCGTGGTTTCCTGTGAATAGCCGACACCATATCCTATATTTTCACGATGAGTATTTTTATCACGGCGTGTGTCCTGTTCCTGCATGGGCCGAGTTCTTGTGCTTTCCTGAAACTCGGGCAAAGTATTATTAGAATAATATGATTTGTTAGCACTTGTGGTAAGTGTAAAACTTTGTGTAAGTGTATTATGTTGGAGCATAATTGGTGAAGTATGCGCGTGTGTCGTGTTTGTCTGTATTTCTGGAATGTATCCTATGTAAGAAATGTTTGTGTGTGCCTGTATATTTGCGTGCGTGCGTTGTGGTGTATGTTGTGTATGTGGGTGTGCCATGTGTGTATTATTGTATAAAGTTGTAGGATTCTCATTCAGCATTCTGTTGATGTCTTCGATGTCTTCGTCGATCGTCCGTAAAACGTTACGTGCTACGTGTAGTACATTGCGGAACTCAATATCCAATCATGAGTTTCTATAATATGACTCTACCAATCTCTCTTCTGGCGCCATATTGAAGAAACTTGGAATTGGATATTAAGTCCCGCGATATGCTACACGTTACGGGCGCGTTCCATTTAACGATCACGAC